TTTTTCAGTTGGCATGATTTGATACATAACCAGAATTGCATCCATTAAGAACATACTATGCTACAGTAAAGATTTGTTATTGAACAAATTATGCAAAAATAAGGATTAGTGCAATAGCATTCATTATAGGGTAAATCATATGCAATGAATGTAGTTTATCTTCATCTGGGTCTCTGGTTAAGAAGTACACACTTTGGAAATTACTAATGACACATTTGGAGCCAGAGACTTGCTATGAGGACTATGCTGTACATCAGCAATAGTGGCTGTAAATTGCCAATTGAGAAATTTGTTGTTAGGTCTTCAATTCTCATTCACTCATTCATTCATCCATCCATCCATGCAAAAAATATTTGTTGAGGACCAGGTATTTTGTTGATCAACCAAGTGTCCTATGAACAAGATGCTTCTAAATACAAAAAACAAAAAACAAAAACAAAAACCTAAAACAGGACTAATATTATGATGGAAGAAATAGAAAGTAAGTACTGTGTAAGGCATCACCTAATTCAGATCTAAGAAGTCAGAAGTAAACCCAGGTAGAAAGAGAAAGCTGTACTGGGCCTGGACCCAAGAGAACATAAGTTTGTTCAGATTTGCTTAACAATAAAGTTCAAAAGTGTAGTTGATTTATGCAGAGGTTCTTGAATTGTAAACTTTTCAACTCTGAGAAGGTGGATATTTAAATGGACTTTTTAAGCATCCATTTGTGTTAAGAGTGCCTAAGAGCTTGTATACGTGGAAAATCAAGTTCTTGGTCCAGCTTCAAGAGCCCCTTTATCTCTCTGTGGTAAGATACATTCTTCTGCAGCTGTATAGTTGTGTAAGGTTCTGACTCCCACTTGAGTTATGTACTTAAAGAACTCCAAAACTGCTCAAGATGACAAGTGTTCTATGGAATCAAGTGATAAAGCTTTTTTAGTGCCATCTGTTACATTTGTCCAAATTTAGGTTTTGAGGGACTACAAAACGTTGGGTGAGTTTAAACAGTAGCTTTAGTTCAGCAAATTAAGGTTTCAGGAAATAGAAGAGTACAGGAGAAAATGTAAATATGGTGTGAGTTGATCCTGGGTTCATATCTAGCCTTCCTCACATATTGGGCTCCTTGGGTTTCAACTCAGATTTATAACTGCCGTTTTTGTTTTGTTTTTAAGGTAAAATGGGGGTAGTAAGTATGCCACCTAATAGGAGACAAGTGTTACTTTGTGTCTTTTGCTCTTAAGCAAAGACCTGGCGCATAGTAAACATTTTATAAACACAGATGCCCCTCTCCTGTCCCTGTAGCTTCTAGACACCATACCGTGTGGGCTTTGCAACAGTGGACTAGAGGGACATCTTTCACACCTGTGCTGTGCTTATTCCCTGTCAGGTCCGTTCTCTACTGCTTTGAATCCAGCTAGATCCAGCTATGCCCACCTCACCCAGTGTGAGTAGGTAGCAGGGCCTTGTGCTTTCCATCAGGAGTGTTGGTTCCTGGGGCTGCACTGAGCCACCAGAGGATTCATATGGTAGTGTGGAAGTATCAAAGGCTCCTTGTCCCCTTGTACCACAAATCCACCATATTCTTGAGGCATGTTCCTTTACTTTTATTGTTGTTGTTTTAATGAGGTTTTATTGTTTGGGTGTTTTGTTTAATTTTGGTTTTGGTTTAAAATTACAAGTTTAATTATTACTCAGGTAAAGGCCCAAGGAGATTGTTAGCATAGAAGAATACTCTTGGGAAGCCTATTAATTCATGGTGCAATTCAGAGTTATTTAAAGAAACCCTTGGTCCCTGAGCATAATTCAGTAGCACAGTAATAAGTGAAGGGTGCATAGATTCATGAAATATAAATAAGGAAGTGTTTATAGGCTTTCCACAAACTGAAAAGGAAATGGATTTTTTCCACCTTTGTCCTTAAAGTAATCTAACCCACAAGATTATAGTTAAAACATTTCATGGTGCTAATAAAAAAAAACTTCATTGTAAATGAGGTTCCTTAAATGAGAATGGACCTCTCTGTGGGGAACACAGAAATTAAACCTAGGGCCAGAATCCCCAGTATGATACAGCCCGTCCTCCCAGTCTGCTCTTCACCATCAGATAGCAGAAACCAAGGGAATCTAGTGTAGGAAGGATGCTTCCGAGGTCAAGTGTAGCAGGGAGAAGATGAGAGGGTGGACAGAACTTGTTTGCGCAGTCTTCACAGAATGCCACGCTGCTGACACACAGTCCCTGACAGTCCACTTCCTTATCTCCCCAATCCCTGACATTTGAAATGAGTTGCCTAGTTGCACAAGCCAGAGTGAAATGCCTGACAGGCAGCTTTGCTCCAGGCCCTCTCCTTCCCTGCATGGCACTCGTCTCCTCGTGAGACTATGAGGTTAAGGAAAGTGCCATGCTTGCCCTCTCCTACTGTGTCCTATTAGAGTACCAAACCTCAAACCAGCAGTATCTGCATTGCCTGGAAACTTGTTAAAATGCTAATTGCTGTTTTCAAATATTCTACCTTATTTATACTTTTGTCTACATGGGCCTGTGGAATTAGTAATGTTAATCTTCCATGTGACAGCTTTTTAAATATTTTAAGACGAAAAAGGAATTTCACTTTCTTTTATTATATTCTGTTAATTGTAATTATGTTGTTTTTATAATTTATTTATTTAGCGTGTACCTGTCACTCTAGAATGTAGCCTAAGATAGAGACTTTAATTGTTAATCATAAACTACTCTTAGCACATATATGCTCAATAAATATGTGTTGTGTAAAAGGAAAAAGAAACTCCTAATACCTGTGTCTTACCTTCTAAGACCTACTGAGCCAAATTCTGGAAGCAGGGCCCCCCAGTTGTACAGTAAGCCATTTTGTGTGATCCTGCTGCAGTCCTGTTGAGAAACACTGCAGAGCTAACAGCTGGCCTTCCACCCTCAGACGCCTGCAATTTGAGATCTCTGGAAAATTTCCTCTTGCCTTCTAATGGGTTGAGATACTGTCAGATCACTTTTACAAGTGGGTATGAGGTGGAAGGATGCATTTAGTGTCAGTAAGGAAAGTATTGCTTAGAATGCCAGGACCTGGATGCCGTGTAAGATCTCTAGGAATGTGGACCCATCTGTCAAAACCAGTGGTTCTCAACCTGGGAGTTGCAGCCCCTTCAAGGGTCAAACGACCCTTTCACAGTGGTCGCCTAGGACCATCTACATATCAGATATTTACATTACAATTCATAACAGTAGCAAAATTACAGTTATGAAGTAGCAATGAAATGGTTTTGTGGTTGGGGTCACCACAACATGAGAAACTGTATTAAAGGGTGGCAGCATTAGGAAGGTTGAGAACCACTGGTTTAAAGAAAGATGAGCTCTAACCACCATATTTCCACACAGTGCCTTTGAACTGGTGTTTAGCATCAAAACACCTAGACAAACCAGTGAAGTAGTATAGACTAACATATCTACATCTCTGTACCTCAGGTTGCTAAGCTGTACTCTTATTCCTACATCAAAGTAGACTTTTTAAGAATTGTTAATGCTTTTTTATTAATACAAGTCATAATATGCTGACAAAGAGAAAAATAGGAAAATGGCCTCCGATTCCACCATCTGAGGAGAAGTGCTGTGACAGGTGTGTGGCCTCCAGACTCTCTGCACACTTAGAGATTTTTAATGGGATCAAATTGTACATGCTGTTTTGTAATTTTTCCACTCCACAGTACCATGATGATCTTGCTGTGTCATGTATATATTTCTACATCCTTTTTAATGGCTGCATGATATTTCTCCATATGTGCCACATTTTATTAAACTACTGTTGAATTTTTAGGTTTCCAGTTTTTCACTAATAAACTGCTTTGAAGAACACTGTGCTGCTAACCCTTGTGTTCCTAATTATTTCCTTGAATGCTAATGATGGGGTTGCTGGTAGAAAAAGTATACCAGTTTGTAAACACTTCTGCCACTGCCACCTTGTCCTTTAGAAGACAAATATTTAGCACTTTGTGCTCTTTATCAGTAGTGTATGAGGAAATGCTGTAGATAGAAATGGGGTATTATAGAGGGGAGGGGCTTCCAACTGAATGTCTTAGTGTCTTTGTTTTGAAAACGACAATTGAAAGTCAACAGTAATGGGTCTTCCTTTCTCTCGTCTGGCATGGTCTTTGTGATACTTTGGAAATATTTATATTGCTTACCTACCTGTAGCTTCTACTCAGCCTCCTGGAAGTTACCACCTTTTTTTTCTTTTTGCTGAGGTAATAGGAAGACGCAGTCTTAGTAGTTTTTTGAGAGAGAAAGGTGTTTTAAAGAACATCAAGTGTGCTTGGAAAGGTAGACGAGTGTTGGCTTTTCCCTTTGGTTATCTGATGT